TAACTTTTTATGACTTAATCATGATTATTCTTGCTTTATTGGATAATTTTTTGAGCTAAAGTAACTGTTAATTTGGGACGAAGGAAGAGTAACTAAATTTTATAAATCACGAGTTTGAATGGTGAAAGCAACCACGTCTAATGCTTATGTACATTAGAATAGACACGTTGTCTACGTCACACACCTTTAAAATGTGACCCTTCCTCGAAGGTATGAATCCTACGTGAACACGATATATTTTATGATGTATTTTTTCATCATATTGATATGCAAAAAATTGCAATTTGTAATACTTTTCATATTATTTTTGAATATCTAAATTTTTTGTTTAAATTATTGAATTAATGTATTCTAATTTCACTTTGAAAATTAATCAAATTAATTTTTAAAAAGTACAATATGACAATTAAAAATGAACAAAGTAGTATATAACGTGCCGCTAATCATTTAATATTTTCACGCAGGAAAGTAAGTTTTTTTCTGGACAAACATCACCATCATGAATAATAAAAAAATTACTAGCACAAAAGTAAATTGTTGTCTAAACTTCAATGTCACATTTCTAACTTTTATAAGATTCAGCATAATTGCATATATTTTTTTGCAGTTGATGGTTTATGCATTCTCAAGCAATTAATTTTCATCATGTTTTAACTTTTTCATGTTCTTTTCCATTCAGAAATATTACAATCATGAGTTTTGTTTAAGAGAAATTAAAGCACCGCTAGTTTGAGAGTGTCGCGTTCAGAAACGGATCATGTAATGAGTAAATCTAACTTTAATCAAATTTCAATACATATTTTAAATATCGAATAGGAAAAAAAAAAAGCACCACTAACTCTTATCAAATGTTTTTGTGTAAGTCTTTGAGATGAATGTTTTTATGTTTGATATATGATATTTGTGAAATTGTTGTGTTAAACATTTATAAAATTAGAGGTGGTGAGATATCATAATGCTTATAAAATTCAACAGAATTAATAATATCACCATTTATTCAAAATTTTAATTTCGCCTCTAATTAAAATCTACTGCATTACAATAAAAAAAGTTAGGACGTTTTTGGAGACAAACCTTTAGGTATAGTTATGGGACTTTAATTTTGCTAGTATATATATTTAATTACCCAACTTTTCACGTGCATTGCACATTTAGCCTTCAACTATACTAACAAACAACATTAATTAATTTCATAATAATTATTATGATAGCTAATAAGTAGTCTAATATTCCTCTCTATTTGCCGTGCCGTTACAGCTACTCATCTGCTCCCTTGACAATTTTCTTTCACAACTCACCCATGCAACAACATTCACCAAACCTAATTTTGCCCCCTCCCTCCGCGTTCCTTAATCAGAGATTTCAGATTCAAATTTTGAAATTAATAGAGTCGCCTTTGTTAGAATGTGTTTATTTCTAAAATGTAACTTTCATATACTAAACCAAATAGAAAACAAAAGAAAAACCTAAATTTGATATGATTTTCGAACAATTTATTTTTTGTTCAAGCAAGTGTTTTATTATACATCATAGTTTTATAAGATTAATATTAAAATGATCATGACATTCTTATATAGATGTTTTCAAGTTAACAATAAATATAACTAAAGAAATAAGCTAAATGTTATAACATCAAAGCATTTTCATTAGTAAATGTACACAAAACACCAAAAAAAAAAAAGACTTACTAGATCATACACCATGTTCTTGATCAAGAATAAAACAATAGGAAGCTTGATTTCATTATTTTTGTATAAAACCCTCCTCCAAAACCCTAATGATGCAAAGGGTTCGGTCCGGTCGGGACGAGTCGTTTTTCGACACCATATCGTTGATCAATCTCATGACTTCCGGCTGGCTCAGCCTCCGGTTGCTCGTAGACATCGTCCCGGTGATGGTGATGGTGGTGGTGGTGGTGGTGGTGAACATGTTTCACAAAAGGTGTGAAGTCAAAATTACTTGCTATAAGTGTTTTTCTTTGACCAAACAAAGAGTGGTGATCATGATCATTATATATAATGACTTTGTTGTTGTTTTTCAAGAATTTGAATTCTTGAAATAAGAGAACAAGTATAGAAAACCAAAGAACAAAACATATTACATGAGGAACCTTTAAGCCCATGTTGAAAGAAAATAGTGATCACAAGAGGAAACATGGATAATAATATTGATCATCAATGAAATAATAAAGGATCAATTTATTTTATTTATTTTCACTTCTTGGAGATTGAGAAACTTTGAAGATTGACAGCTTGAATCTAATGGATTTTTGCTTACATGTGAGACTTGTGAATAAGCTAAAAATTTAATGTTGTGTATAATAAGGAAAGGTGGAGATATTGTGTGAGTAGTTGGGTGGAAATTAAAGGAAATGGGAGAGGTAGACCCTTTTCCCAATAAATGTTACTTAGATTTCAAGGAATAATAAAAGTGGTCATTATGTAAAATTCAAAATCCCCTGAATTATACCATATAGATTTTGAAATCAAGAGGTATTATTGTATGAGGTGTATTATATATATATATAGATCGATATGAACACCAACTGTTTCATGTTAAAAATCAGTTTTACTGGTATCTATTTTTTCAATAATTATTGCTCGAACTAAAAAAATATAAAAGGACCGACCACAACAATAATATTTTATAAAAGTCAACTCTCTCTTTTCTCTTTCTATAAGGAGAACATGCATCTATAGGTTTCAACTAAATTGCTAAATCCTTTTGCTCTATGGTGGGGGAACAAGTGTACTCCATATTATCATTCTACCAAGCAATCTTCTACACACTATTTGGAAAAAGTGAAGCTAGTTATAATGTATTGATGGTGTCGTATAGGGGTATAATATATATGGGAAACAAATAATAAGCAATAATATAAGTGCACTTTTAGTGGTATTTATCTAAAATGGTTTTCACATTTCTATACCACCCAAAATCTTCATTATGATATTGAAGAAAAGAAAACAAAAAAGAAATATTTGTTATGTGACTATGACAAAAGAAGATCAACCAAGAAGTGCATGTGTGAAATTTTGAGACTATCAAGCCAAATTCAAAATAAAATTAAGTTTTACTTATGTTCCAATCGATTGAAGTTAGGTTTTGACGAGTCAATTTTTTAACGTATTTATTAAACTCTAGACAAAAATATTCAAAGTTTTGTTTGGACAAGTAACGTGTCAAACTTCGGAAATAATTTATAATCTAGCACACAAATTTTTGCAACTTTGATCATGTACGTCGAAACTCCAAAGTTGATTTCAAATTGATTAAACTTACAAAAATTTATATACTACGATTATGCCTTAACATGAGTCTTGAAAAAATGAAAACCATAAAATCTTATCACCCGTCCCTATTTGTAACCTCTATTTAGTAAATGACCCCATTTTATTTTTCTTGCAATCTAGAACCTTTTAGACAACAATCTAAAAATTTATTCAGAGAAAACCGAAAACCTAAGAAAATATTACTATCAGAAAATTTATATCTTGTCATGAATGTTATACGACAATTTAATATTTTATCTGTAAAATTAAGCAATACATGAGAACAATAGTCTAATATAGGGTGTCAAAAATGAACTCAAACATAGGTAACCCGTCCAACCCGTCCAAAATTTTAAGGGTTGGGCTCAAGATAATTTGAATTGGGTTCAATCTCAACTCATTCAAGCCTAATCCATTTTAAGAGAATCCTCAATTGAGCCCAATTCAATCTCCAATTTCAACCCGTTTTAAAACTCTTTTTTAATATATGTTCCTATATTGAGGGTATGAATTATTATCTATTTAATATCTTTTAGGATTTATCTATCCATTTGTTACTTTTTTTTAAAAAAAAAAAGAGTTAAAATTCAAATTGTGATTATAAAAGTTAAATATCACTATGTTAAAATAATTGAGATTAAGCGGGTCAAGACCCAACCCATTTTTTAGCCCAAAGTAAACTTGGACGGGTCAAGACCCAACCCGATTTCTATTGCAACCCACCATTTTAATATCTCCAATTTCAACCCAACCAGCCCATTTGACACCCCTAGTCTAATATTGTACGCAATGATTATTTCTCGAAGATTATATTCACACAACTTTTTTTAAAAAGGGACAAATTTAAATAAGGGATAATTGTACATAATAGCAAACTGTTAATTCAAATTAAATGCTATAAATATACTTTGATTTAATTGTACCCTATAGCAAACTATTGCTATTTTCGCCACTCTCCCTGGTGGAATCTCACTCGCCACTCTCGTTTGGTGGCAATCTCACTCGCCTCTCTCGCTTTTATACAAACACAAATGTATAAAATGCGTTTGTGTTTGTATAAAGCGAGAGGAAATTGTATGTATACATACATTTTCGTTCCCCTCTCTCCCTTCTCCCAGATCTCGCTCGCCACCCTCGCCTCTCTCGCTTATACAAACAGAAACGAAATGTATAAATTGCGCTTTTGTTTGTATAAAGCGAGAGAAAATTGTATATATACACATGCAAATATATATATCTTCGTCCTATACACTTATAATTATACAATACAAATATTTCCCTGCCCAGTTTTCTTTTGCCTTTCTGTCTTTCTCGTTTTATACATACACAGATTATACAATTGATCTTTTGTATAAAATTGTTTTCTTTTGTATATGTATAGCGAATTATACAACTGCTTTCTTTGTATATGTATAGCGAATTATACAACTGTTTTTTTTTGTATATGTATAGTGAATTATATATATATGTTTGCTATGGAGCGGAATTATGCAAACTTTGCTATATCATATAAATGAATTTTGTGTTTGCTATATATGAAAGTTGCTCTTTAAATAATAACCTTAAAAAAAGGACATTTACGTAAATCAACCTCTATATCGGCTATTTGTACAATACATCAATTACGGCCCAATGTTGGTCCAGGCCCATCAATAAAACTGACCGCCGCCTACGGGCTTTTTGCCGCCTGAATCCATTAACTAAACGGTGTCGTCTTGTTCACATATAAAATCATCAAACAATCCCCAAACTACAATCAAAACGCGAAATCCCTAAACTGAATCTTCAAGGATCCAAACGATCGATCAGATAAACGAAGCTTTGAAGGTCAAAAAATGGTACGTAGATCATGATATGTTTGGTTAATTATGATTAATTCGTGATTTTTCCAGTTTTTGTTCAACATCTAGGGTTTATATCAATGTTTGATTGTTATTTTTTGGATTTTGAGTTGTTATTTGTTGAGAGTTATCTATAATTGAATATGATAGAAGGTGTTGGGAAGATTTTGAATTACACTGTTATGAATTTACCTTAGGAAGAGTTTTTGAGCTGATTTATGATTAATGGTTCCAGTTTGGGTATTAGTGAATATTAGAAGTTACTGAGGGTGTGGCATAGTGGTCTATGAAGTCTGTTGAGAACCATGAGTCTAGGTGCTGGTGGGACGTTGGAGGTATCCGTGAAATTAGTTTATGTGCGCGCAAGGTGGCCTGGACAGCATGGTTGTAAAAAAAAATATACTATATCTTAAAAGTTAAGTTTTTTTTTTTCATAAAAGTTGCTTTACAGAGCTAATTAAACATAATTTCTTTGCTGGTCATGTTTGATTAGGGTATCTAGCTCTGGCTATGTAAGTTACACAATGCATAGCTGGCCTCAAATCTAGATAAAAGGATGAGGGTTATGGTTTATTAACAGTCGGCATAGGAATAGTTAATTTTTAGGAATCGTCTGCATTTGTTAAAGGGTCTAATGGAGTTGTATAGATGGGATTCCTGCAACTAGTTTGAGATTGAGATGCGGTTAGTTGCTGCTTCATGGTTGATTTATTTGATCATGGTTTCTATCTTCCAATTGATTACTAATTTAGGCAGTAGTATTTAGTTCATATGTTTCAATATCAAACTCTATGAGGCTGTCTGAAATTGTGATCCCTTCCTTCTACTATATATTCGGTTCATGTAAGGCCTGCATTTGATCCTCTTGAGAACTATTTTATTGCGTCCACTTTTTTTTTCTAAGATTGTAAAAGGTGTGGGGAAGTTGTACTCTTCTATTTTTTGGTCCTTTTTTGAGAGGTTGAGAAAGCTTATATGTGTAAGGCCTTCCAGTCATTTCTTCCTAGCAGATATGACATGTATCTCTCCGTTTTTTATTCTTGCCCTTCTTACCTTTTTAGTTATCTTTTTATTTTTTCACCCATCAACATTGTGAAATGCTTTATAATTCACCAGTGAGCTCTGTAATTTTCTTGTATTCGTCTATCTTAGCAATTGTTGTGTGTTAAATAAGTGTGCGAAAGACTTAACTTTAACTACCTGTATGGTAGGCAGTAACACAATTTACAGCGCAACTCTGCCTTAGCACCTATTAAACTTTTGGTTTGAGTTTCCATCGCTTGTTTTTTTTGAACTGTCGAAATTCTGGTGCTAAACTGTTGTTTGTTATTTTTATGTGTTTTGCAGTCTTCACTTGCAGCTGCTAGGGCAGACAACTTTTACTATCCTCCAGAATGGTCTCCCAAGAAGGTAAATAGATATCAACTTTTTTTTTATTCTTACATTTCTGTATCTGGTGGAGTATTGGATTCAAAAAAGAGTTCTAGTTACTAATTCATGCTTCTTTTCAGGGTTCACTGAACAAGTTCCATGGTCAACATGCTCTCCGAGAGAGAGCAAGAAAGATAGACCAGGGCATTTTAATTATAAGGTACTGAACTATGAAATTCTGTATTTTTACTTGTCCATTGGGATGCCAAGACCAAGCAAACATTTTGAACAGTAACCAATAATCTGGATGAGGAGAAAAACAAAACAGACGTGTATTTTTGGGTAGAAGAATTTTAAGTGATGTTTACCATTGCATTGCATCTGATATCTGTTGCCTTTATTCTCTTTATCCAATTTTATCCCCTACCCCCCAAAAAAAAATAAAAAATAGAAGGGGGGATTTACCATGATGTTAACTTTAACTTCAATGAACATCTCATAAAACCTTCCTTATTTTTCAGGGAAGCGTTCATGTACGTCTTAAAACATTGTAATGCATATTAGTACTTATTTAAATAGAAAGAAAGGAAGAAAGAAAGAGGCTTAGTCGGACTTGCTTCCTTGGGTTTTTAATTGCTTAACCTGGAGTAGAATTTATTAGCATGATTTTATTTTTTAACAGAGTTAAATTAAATATTACGAATCACCTAACGCGTTGGAACTTTAGCTTGAGGCTGTGTCTCGCCTCAGTTGACATTGGTAAGCATATGATGATTCGAAATGCATACTTGAAACCGAAAACTTTTGAAAGTACCTGCTTGATAACATTGTTAGTAAACTGAGTTTAGTATCTCGGAAATGATGATTGTAGGTATCTGTGCAGTTACAAAAGAAGGAAAATGAAGTGTCTTGCTCATGCATCATTTTTTTTACTTAGTAGTCTCATGCATTATTTATTTTCTATCTCTGCTGTTATGAGCATCGTTACTCACTACCCAATATCCTTTTGTTATAGGTTTGAGATGCCATTCAATATCTGGTGTGGGGGATGTGAGTCGATGATTGCCAAGGGTGTGAGGTTCAATGCTGAGAAAAAGCAAGTAGGGAATTATTACTCCACAAAGGTAAGTTTTTTTCATGATGCAGTTAATGAAACGGAAAATTTTCACTTGTACGCCAAAATTTGCCAACTCAAGTGACTCTTTGTTTTTTGTTTGCTAATTGTAATTCCTTGTGATAGATATGGAGCTTTTCTATGAAATCTGCATGCTGCAAGCATGAGATTGTCATTCAAACAGATCCAAAAAACTGTGCGTATGTTATTATTAGTGGAGCTCAAAAGAAGACTGAAGACTATGACGCTGAAGATGCTGAAACCTTGGTACTCCCAGTAGATGAAGGTAAGTACTATAGTTGTATTGAAGAACTGTTTGGTGCATTTCTAGATGAATTCATGTTGCTATTACACTTAGGGAAGCTATTGCATTTACAGATGCATAGAAGTCTCTCTGCAATTTACCATACAGTATTTATCGTACTGAACTGTAATTATTAGGAGGATTACACTTTGTTCATAACTGATCTACTTTTCTCCTATCCAGATAAAAGTAAGTTGGTGGATCCTTTTTATCGCCTTGAGCACCAGGAGGAGGACTTGAAGAAGAAGAAAAAAGCTGAGCCTTTACTTGTTCGTCTTCAGCGAGTATCTGATACTAGACATTCAGATGATTATGCGATGAACAAGGCTCTTCGAGCCACGCTTAGGGTATGTTTTTTATTTATTACTGGTTTTCTGCACTCTCTCTCCTTTATTCCTTTATACCCGACACTTAAAATAGTCCTTATCATCCTCTGGCATGTACACAGGGTCAAAAGAAAAGAGTTGCCGAAGAAGAGGCTGCTGCTAAGAAAATAGGACTTGGTATTAGGTTACTACCACCTTCTACAGAGGATGCTGCAACTGCTGCAACAGTTAAATTTGCTCATAAGTTCGATAAGAACAGAAGAGATAAACGAGCCATCATTTACTCTGGTTCAATCTTTGGATCGTCTGGCTCTTCTAAGCATTCAGAATTGGAATCTAAGAGGAGAAAAATCAACGCTTCTGCTGCATCAAAGCTGTTGGTCGGAGGATTTAAGCCCTCGTCATGGTCTGAAGCTACTGTTCCATCGAAGAAACAAAGGAGAATTTAACAATATGATCCATTCCTGCCGATAGATTTGTTAACCTACCAGTCGAAAATTGAGTTGGAGATTTGTTGACTCCCTGCTTATTAATCGTTCGGGTAGGCTGTTGAGTTTGCTTGTACAGATTTGATGTTCGTCGAGTGATTTTTGTTCCGTTTTTTACTGTGTTTGTATTTTCTTTGAATAAAAGAGTTTATATCCATCACAGCAAAGTTAGAACAGTACAAAGTATATGTTGATTGAAAGAAATGTACTCGTTTAGGTAAGTGCCAGATAAATTGTGTAGCTGTGGAAGATGCAAGAAGTTACTTTCTTCCTACGTAGCTCGGACTCTTCAGTGGACACAATGTGGGTGTAGGATACGTACCTTTGAATCCGACCTCTAAATTTACACTCATATCAGACACTCGCACCCGAGTTCGAACAACTTAGCTTTCTACCCATCTCTACAACTCTAAAAAAAATCTCGTGTTGATTGTGTTTTAACCTATTATGTTCTTACTATTACCCTATACTAAATTCCAAAATTTAACCTAAAAAGTCTATGCCACCTGACACTTCAAATTCACCACGCAACCGTTATATCTTTTACAAAATATAATGGGTATAAAATGATTGTACGCTTTTATCTAAAGACGTAATTGTTTATTTATCAGATTAGTTTCAATATCATCAACTAAATTGTTTTAAAATATGATATTTGAAGGGAAAAAAAATATATTTAAAAGTTGAAGTTGTGTTCGAAATATGCAAAAGTAAAAATGTATGAGTGGAAAGAAAATTCAATTCAAAGCTTGTCAAAATTCATCTCCAGGAAAAAAAAGTACTCCCTCCGTCCACAATTGTTTGTCAGGGTAAGGTCATGCACACCCCTCAAGGAAAATTTAATACAAAGTGTAATTTGACTAATATAACCCTACTATACCAAGAATACCAAAAGTCCACATAACTTTTCAATTGAACTACACTATCATTAAGGGCAGAATTGGAAAAACGTGACTAATTATTTTTTGATTGTTTAAATTGACAATTAATCTTGGACATCTATTTTTAGTATACCTGTCAAATAATTGTGGACGGAGGGAGTATTCGAAAAGTTGTTCAATTATTTTTTTTCTCAAAAAAGGAAGAAAAGAAATCATGTGCAGAGTAGATAGTTATCTGGCCGGCTGGCCCCATCAATAATAATGTCCCTCAATTCTGACAGTGTCACTAGGGTAAAGATAAAAATAGAAAGTTACTTTCCTTTAAAAAAAAAGACACATTTAGAACCAATAAGTGACACTATTCATCTGAGTCGCGGTAGAGGTGTAAGTACTTTGTTATTTTAATCAGAGATTTTAGGTTTGAGTTATATAGCGTAACAAAGTTGTTTTTGTTAAGAAGCATTTTACCCTAGTGTATGACTTGAATCTAAATTTAGTCAGACTCCAATACAAAAACTAAACACAAGATGGGATCGGAAATCAAGAAAAAGAACACAAAGAATCAATATGTGATTCAACCATTAAGAGTCATGGTGAAGTAGTAAATAAGTTTTCATCCTTAATTAAAACTCTCAGATTCGAGTTCTCTTAGAGTAATGGAATTGCTTTTTTAAAGAGCATTTTACCTTCTAATGTAAAATTACTTTTTACGAATTTGAATGTAATCGGATCCACGGGTTACTTAAAAGAACATGAAGAATCAATATGTGACACAATATTATGGAACTTAAGGAGCATTCTATATTAAAACACACACAAAAACAGACTTTTGTCTCTCCAACTGAAGTAACAACCTTTGACATAACATGTTGCATCTATCAATGTTCTGCTTCTGATTTCTTCCAAAAATCAATTTTAAGAATAGGATAGTGCTTTTTCTAGCAGAACCCAATTTGGTGAAAAAGGCAATAAATGCTCAATAATTCTATCAAATGTACACTGACAGTATAAAGATTTTTTACACATCGATATATATATATATAAAGGGACCATCTATAAATAACCTATGGTAGTTGGTTAGTTATCATTTTTACCGTTAGAATTGGTACGGAATTTAAGAAAGAAATAATTTCATCTAAAATATTTTGTTTTAGAACATGTCATATATAGAAGTGAGCATTTCTTTTTGGAGTGTGCTAATTAAAAATGAAAATATATCACAAGGTAACTAGTTTACCAATTATAATGCTTATAATCAAGAGTTTTATCCTTAATTATTTTATAAGTGATCTAATTGTATGATATATTTTTTTTTTAATACTACATATCAAAGCATAAATTATTGGTATCACTTTTTTCTTGTTATATACTACTACTGATCTGAGTCCAAAGTGTCAGAATAGTGAAAAAATTATTGAAGAAAAGAGGCACAAATTTTCATGAAGTTGAATTAAAATGAAAGTGAAATTAATGGTAGGTAAAGTTTGAAAGAGATATTTCTTTTTCGTGGTCCATACAAATGGTTTCAGTCAATTAGAAAAGATGTGACGCATTTTGTGTGGTTAATTTAATTATCAAACTATTTTATTGTGTATTTAGGTGTTTAATTGAATCAAGTCGTAGTTTGAATGTTTTAAATGGAATATTCTACTGACAAATTTAAGGAGTTAATTATTGATGTATTAAACCTAAAATAATGTGTGTATATATTCTAGTCATAGTAAATGTGATATCGATAAAACAGAATCCAATTATTTGCCATTGTGCAAAATTTCAAATATTACCTATTGAATCAATTGTTGATATAATTAGGTGACATAATATTGGTTTGGTTCATTGTAATGTCCATGACAGAGGACGGATCGATGAGAGTAAATCACAAAGAATAATTGACAGACTTTTCTAGGTTAGTACACACTTTTAGATTGTTAATATATAGTATATATAGCTTATTAAGAAATAAATTTATGAGATTTGTTGAGTCAAAGCTAATAATATGTAACATGATATTTGAATGTGAAAGTCATGGAGAAATAACTTAAATGAGATGTCTTTGACTCTATTTAATGAATTTATTGAGTTGGTTACCCCATGAATTTACTATAGTCAACCCAAAAGATTGACTTGTAATATGTAAATTCTTTTTATTCTTTTCTATAGTACAATTTTTTAAAAATATTGCAACAAATGTAATTAGATCCATGAAATATTGTTGTCTTTTTTCTTTGTTGTACATGACTGCCAATAATTTAGTACTATTGAGGAACTTTAGCACACACTCAAGTTTATGTCGAAGATTTCGAATTTGATTTCTGGATATGGAGTTGTGTTTTATTAGGAAACATCCTTCATCTTTAATAAAAAACTTTTCGATTCAAACACAAATTTAATCGAATCCTTTATATCGAGGTGGAAAAGAAAAAATATTCACATTGCGGATACTAAGGCAAAATCTATGTAGTAACCATTAGGGATGGCAAATGAGTTAATAACTTTGATGGTCACTCAACTATCAACTATTTTCACAGAAAGTCACTGAACTTTCATTTTCAAACTCAAAAGTCACTCAACTATGACTTCTTTGCATAGAAAGTCACTCAGACTATTTAATTATTTTTTTCACTAAAATTTGCTAACGTGAAATTTTTATTTTTAACCAAAATTTTAAAAACCAAATACATATCCATTTAAACCATTTAATGATCCGCCCCATTTAACCCGACCCGTTAAAAATATGATATTGAACTTTTTATTTTACCATTAGTTTCCCCAAATCATTCTCTTTTGTCTCCTTCTTTCTCCTAAACATCTTCTTTTTTTAATTTCTCAATTTCAATATCTCTATTAAGTAGGAATTTATAATGGATTCCTCCTTTCCTTTTATCTAGATTTAGAAATTATCTTTCATTATAGTCTCTGGGTTGATAATTGAGTGACCATCAAAGTTATTAACTCATTACTGGCAAATGGTGTGAGGAGGGGTGATTGATTGCAAGGCAAATCCACGTAAACTCGTGAAGATTTCAACCTATCAAGAAAATTTGCTTACAATCCGCCCCACCTTGCCTAAAAAATATTTCAAACCCACCCCCACTCCCACCCCGACCCCGTTTGCATCCATAGTAACAATTTGATTTTTGTGCTCTCCAATAATATTATTGGGTATGAATGCTTCAACAGCTATGCATTTTTGAAAGATTTACCATAAAATTCGAACAGTTTATATTATTCAGAGGTATAATAACTAGAATAGCAGAAAATGAGAATAATTTAGACAGAATAGAATAAGATGGAAATTGGATTCGACTATTTTTCCTCTATATTTCCTCATTTAATGCACCATTAATTATTTGCAATTTATTGCTTTTGACTACTAAAATTTTATGTACAAATTGGAAAGTTGCATCTGTGGTTGATATTTAAATTTCAAATTAAGTTATATACATTGACATTGACAGATAATTAATATAATATTTTTACGTATCAGGTTACTTTTCACCTACAATAACAAATATAATTGTTTATAATAAATTGATATGACGAATAATTTGTTATACATGTTAAATTATATTGATAGCGTAAAAACAAACAAATGAATATTGTCTGCAAATTAATGTTTCATTCAATTGTATGTACTGATATTTATTATTTTGAACGTGACTTTTCTTTTACTTTGACTATATTATATAACGACTATGAATTTGAGGATACAAAAACAAAAGTCAATGTTAAATAATGTGGGGCATCTGACACTTGCAATAAATATACCACAAGGAAATTAATGTCTCTTAAATTTGTAGGTAGAGAAAAAAATTCATTTGACTTGTTGAAATAATATAAGTCATGCATAAAAAAACACTTTTTGTTTCAATTAATTCTATTTATTATTAAGAGTTAATTAAGTAATTAAGAAGTGATTATGAAATAATAAGCTATGTATGAAAAACACTTTTTTTTTTGTTGAGATAGATTAGTGTTAGTTTGGAAAAATTAAAGATCAAACACAAATTGAATTATTGAAGCATCGCTTCGTGCTATACCTGGACATTTCCATTGTACTATATGAAGGGATAATTCTGAAGTAATGGTAAAATATTGATAAAAGTTGTAGATATTTTATTTATGTTGAGAGAAAAAAGAAATCCAACATGTTATCTTTTTAAGTGTCGTGCATACATAAAAAAAATCCATAACTTAATTTAGCTTTTGAATACTGATAAGAATGGAAGATGAGTGACTTTTTTTAATTATATATATAGATAATTTTTCGATAAAAAGTGTTCA